TTACTCTTAAAAAAGCCTATACACTCACGAAAAAGTAATAACTCCACTCTCTTAAAATTCACGCACACGCAACATCCTAATCCCTAAAAAGCGGCCACTTCAAATGTTATGGTAGTAACTGAATTTTTTTCAAACACAACCATTTCGAAAGTAATGATTAAACAAATAATTTAACTTAAAAATATTCAAAATATTAAATGGATAAAAATAAAAATAAATAAAATTCATAAAAATGACTAAACAATTTATACAAATGGTGTGAGTTTCATTCTTTTAGATGAAATAATTTATTAATTGCAAACTAGATTTAGTTTTTTTGGAAGCCTAATCTAATTTTACTTTTAAAAATAAACTTATCAAATAAATAGTGAATACCAATTAATGTGGGTTACTGCTTACAAATAAGACCTCATTTAATCTCTTAAATCATATTAAAAACAACACAAATTAATAGTAGTAATTTTTTAATCTCTTAAATAATACCAAACAAAGTAGGTTTAATTTAATTTTTTATAATTAAATAGTAAATTTAAATGATACTGTAATTGCCCCTTAATATGTGATCATTCTCTATATAAAACATGATAAGTCTCTTAAATCAAATAAAAAACCTAACCCAAATGTTTAAAATTGAAATAATTCATATTAATGATCCCCTAGTACGGGGGTCATTCCTAGTGATGGTTAAAACAAGAGTTTATTTTAGACTTTGACTTACTTTTTATAAGTAAATAGAAACCCAAATCCGTACGTGTATGGATGAACACACCACTCCTAATCGAATTTTGACAAGAGCTTAACTCTTTCCAAAAGCAACTAGGATTAGTCTATACGTAAACTTTATTCTATAAATACCTCCCAACCCCATTCGCTTCCCTTCAATCTTCATTCGGCTGTCTTCTTTTCGCTTTTCAGTAGTCAATTTCTCTTGACGACTTCACTTAAATTTCCGTTTTTCTTCTCTCTAATGGCTTTCGAATTGCAGTTCTCCTCCCTCTTCCTTCCTCTGCTGCTTTCATGTTACTTTTTCTTACCAACCATGGCTGATGATACTCCAACTGCTGCTCATCATGCCCTAGAAATACCAGTAGAGAAGATCAAGAAAGCTCTCTCTGATTCAAATTACTTCACCATGTCCATGACTCTTGAACTAGCTCTCAGCAACCTGATCCCAACTCATGGATTCCTCAACAACAAAGATATCAAAACACTCACCATATTCTGCCCTTCTGACAAAGCATTCATGTCCCCCAACTTCAAGTACGTAGGACCTCCATTGACCCTCCTCAGATACCATGTTGCACAGGTAAAGCTGGACAGGGAGGTTTTGGAGACATCGCAGCTGCACTGGTCCAAGGTCGAAACCCTTCTTCCTGGGCATCCCCTTGTGGTCACTTCGGTAAAGGGACAGGCTTCTATCAATGACGTCAAGATCACGCACTGGAATCTCTACAATGATGGACATGTGATCGTTCATGGTGTCGAAGACTTCTTCGATCCTGCTTTCCAGACCATCTGGTTTCCACAGTACGATGGTGAAGTATTGGTCGATTATGACAAATCGTATTCCATGGCTATAAAGAAATTTTTTGATCCTTTTCATGAGCAGAGAAACGGTTCAGACCTTATGTTGGCTATTGGGCTTTCAGCTGCTGGGATCCTTGTGTTGTTCCTCTGTCAACTTCTTCTGCGACTCTGTTGGCCTAGACGTACAGAGGACATGGATGAATATTTTCCTATTGAAACTATTTCCGTCGTGTAGGGTTCTGTTGGAATTGATGATTCTTTTGTTTTTTTTTTTTTTTTTAATTTCATTTCTAAAACGTTTATGATACAACTTTCATAAATTATTGATGAATTAAGTTTTATTCATTTGATTATTTGTATTTTTTTCCTGTAAAGCTACATTCATCTGCAAGATCTGTATGTTTTACTTTGTAGTATGTTCTTCTCCTAGAGGTCACATGGCCGATAGCCCAATCGAGAACCGACTCAAATTTAAGGTGGATGATCAGATTCATTTAATGGAAACAACAACCCTTAACAGCTCAAATTCTTGTTTTCTACTTTCTCAAGAAATCAACTGTTGAGCTCGGATTCTGTGAACCCGTCGGTTCCCGAGAACCCACCAACCAGAATCGAACACGTCTCCTCATTGAATTAACAGACATCTAACGGAATTGCTCTGTTAACTATGGTTGAACCGGCCACTAAATGACAAAAAAGCAATAAAACCCACACTTTTGCCTCTCTCATTCGAACTCTCCCCCATCGTCTCTCACCATACATGATACATGACGACGACGAGAACACCGGTGACGTTTGGCGTCAAAAATCAACCAAAGACCAACAACCAGCGGCGAGCGGTAAGTTTATCTCTTATTCTCTTCCTCCTCTTCTTCCTATTCTTCTTCTCCTTTTCTTCTTTCTTTGTAGTATATATTTCCCCTGATTGGATCGACTTCCTGAGTTTCAGTTCCAGACATGGATCAACCACCAGTTGATTTTTTTCTGCTGCCGGTAGATTTTACATTTGATTTCACGAGCTCTGGTTGATTTCTTACCGTCGCCAATAGATTTTACGGTTGATTAAACGAATGTCAGTTTGCAATGAGATTGCCGGTGAGCTTCTGGACTATGGCTCGGTGGAGATACAGAAGAAGAAGAGTTTGGCATTGAGATACAGATTCATTGAAACCCCATTAACAAACAGATAATAGACCACTCTATTTCAATCTTCTCTTTAATTTTTTTTAACTTCTATCGGTGAAGAAATATTTTCAACAACAGGTTGCTGCAATGAAGAAGATAAGATTTGAGATCTGAGATTATGAAAAGATAAGATTTGAGATTTGAGAAGATTGGTGCGTGCACCAATCTATGCACATCTGCACACCGGTTGAATCTTGTCGCTGATGGTTTGTAGAAAGGAAGAAGAAAAGATTTGAGAACAATAACGGGGTTTTAAGGAAAAGGAGAAGGGATGCTTGCCGCTGGTTGAGTGCACGCGGTCGAAGCTTAGTGAAAAAGTGAAGAATGCTGCTCGTGGCCTCGTGTTCTTGAGCTAAGGCTTTGGAGAAAATAGGAAAAGAGAGTTCAAAAGTTGTCTTTATCTTAGTTACAACCTACTTAATTAAGTTGTTTCTCAAACTGTGCTCCTTCCACAACTGATCCATGGATGGGCCACAAAATATTAAGGAAATGTTGGTTTCCTTTGGGAACTTAGAATCAGAAATGAACACTTAAACAACAAAAAGTTACCACTAAATAGAGCTAAAACCGACCTAAACCGACCCAAATTAACTCAAACTGATCAGGTCAATTTTACTTAATACAGGGTCGATTTCGATTTCAATTTCTGATCAAATCAATTGAAAAAAATATCAATAAATCGATCCAACCCAACCCGTAAACAGTCCTACTTCAAACTAAGGGGGAGAAGAATGGGAGTGCTTGGTTTCTGCTGCTTTTGTTTCTTCTCATCCGGTTGAACCAGGCTGACAAATTAACGGGATTCTTCACGTTAATTATAAAGAGAACATTAACTATTTCTTTTTAATTTTCTTCATATGAATGAAATAATTTATAATTAATGTATTAATTTTTTTATTAATTATTGATTAAAATTAGTTTTGTCTCGAATCAATGCCAGGTCGGTTCTTTTGGGTCGGCCAGCCCAGCCTGAACCCGATCTGACCCATTCCATGCCGATCCGGGTTGACCCAATTCCGAAACAGGTCAGGTATTAGAATCTGATCCCCTTACTTTGCCTGGCTTGAATCGTCTAGTCTGGTCTGCATCCACATAACCCAACCCGAATCTGGACTGGTTTGCTTTACTTCTCTTGACCCGCTTTGGGCCAGTCGGTTCGGTACCAAATCCGTGCACAAACCTGATATAGGCCGGTCCAAGTCAATTCACCCTTGACTGAACCGGTCCGACCGAATTGATCCAGATCTAAACGGTTCAACCACCCTTGATGTGATTAGCTCGAAGACAATCCAGTTAGATAGTTTAAGTTGGTCTGACCGGTTTGAACATAAGTGGTTCAGGGCCAGTCCAAGTCAATTCACCCTTGACTGAACTGGTCCAACCGAATTGATCCAGATCTAAACGGTTCAACCACCCTTGATGTGATTAGCTCGAAGACAATCCAATTAGATAGTTTAAGTTGGTCTGACCGGTTTGAACATAAGTGGTTCAGTTAAACCTGAAACCCGAACATAGTCAAATAACTTCGCTACTTATGTAAAAATAAAATACAAGTAATGTAATTTGAACCTTCACTATTTGGGTTAAATCCAATCCATTTAATTTTATATAACTTGATCATTAATGGGTTGATGGATTAAATGGATTGGGTTGAAGCTCAATTCAAATCAAACCGAACCAACCTGCCCAATTGCCACCGCTACTGAAGATTCAATCTATTAGTGCGATATTTTGTTCATACACCAATCCTTCAAAGATGTTTTGGTGCAAATCCGAGATTTAATGAGCTATTTTTTCCAATTTATTAGCCACGTGTCTCATACCAAATTGTTCAGCAATTAATTGCCATCTGGTAAGGATTCCCTCTTTTTGGATAGATAAAACACAAATGCTATGCTGCAGATTTGATGAATCCAAGGACTGTTACGAAGCAAAACAGGGTCTGGGTGGGGGTGGGTGGTAGGCAAGCCGAATGGGTTCAGATAGATAATTAATGTAGTGTTTTATTCCAATTTTAATATTTAATCGTAGCATGACAGAAGCTCCTTTATATATGGTTTAAGTGAGATTCAGATATAATCAAGACAACTATTTGTCAAGTCGATTCAAACACTGGAATAAAATTTGTAAAGAGATTCAGATATAATTAAGAAAAGCACAATCTGGATTCACATGATTTATTAATACATCAATCCAAAGTTGATTTACTAAACAGAGATAAGTTCATTCGATCCAAACAGATATTTACTCTCCGGAGCGACAAACTAATAAAATCCGTCGATCGGCATTTACCGGCCATCTACTTCTGAAAGCGTTAGATTATTTATAGAATTATGTTGTGGATGATGACCTGTACCTGTAGATAAGTCAACACTATTAACCACATTTCTGTTTGAAGTAAAGGCAGGTTGTTTAGGGAAAGGCAAAGATGTCGTCTCGCTTTCAAGAAAAGAAACAACAGTCGACATGGTTGGCCTGTCTGCAGCACTTTCTTGCACACACAATAAGGCCACATTAACACATCGGATGAACTCGTGTATGCAACATGAATCAGCTAAAGTTTGGTCCATCAACTCCAACATTTTGCCTTCTCTCCACATATCCCATGCCTGCAACAATATTCTCATTTCATCAATTTCTAAGTGATCAATTTAATCCAGGCATAATATATAAATTAAAATGCTTGTGATCAATAGAAAGCTTTACGTAGAATCAAGGTTTGAAGAATTCACTCACATATCCTAATAAATTTAGACCTCGATCCGAGTGATAAAATCCAATGTTCTTCTCACCACTTACTATCTCCAGCATCATTACTCCAAAGCTAAAGACATCAGATTTCTCCGAGAAAAGGCCATCCATGGCGTACTCAGGCGACATGTAACCACTTTGCATAAAATTTTAATTCATATGTAAAAGTGAGAAGGCCTTAAATACATATTCATTCACAGCATAATATTTTGAATATACCTATTGAATTGAACCATATTTTACATATACTTACTATGTGCCAATGATCCTTCTTGTATTTGCTTGAAATTCATCCTCTCCAAAAATCCTTGCCGTGCCAAAATCTGATATTTTGGGGTTCATGTTTCCATCCAGCAAAATATTGCTGGTTTTTAAGTCTCTGTGGATAATTCTTAACCTAGAGTATTTGTGAAGGTAAAGAAGACCCTGAGCAATCCCTTCAACAATACAGACCCTTTTTCTCCAATCTAGTAGGGCTTGCTTTGTTGGATCTGTATTGAGTAAGCATTGAAAAATATAAACAAGTCACTTTGTGAATGGAGTAAGAAAATGAAGAAAGAAATATAGTTTGAAATTGAGTAATAGAGTAGCAAACCAAAAAGGAAAGAATCCAAGCTTTTGTTGGGCATAAGCTCGTAGATCAATATCTTTTCTTCCGCTTGAATGCAACAACCCAAAAGTCTGACAAGATTGCGATGTTGGAGCTTGGAAATCAACATGACCTCATTTTTGAACTCTTCTAATCCTTGTCCAGACTTTCTTGAGAGTCTTTTCACTGCAATTTCTTGTCCATCTTTCAGCTTACCCTAAAAAAGAATCAACATGCAATTTCTATTATTTTCAGTCGTTGATGGCTAATAAGAAAATCAAAATATATAGTGTTTTGGTTAGTACATATCTGATGTTAGTATAGGTTTCTTTTGAAGTGTTGGTCCAACAATTCTGAATGGATGCCTTTTAAAAATCTAGGCCCCTTTTGATTCATGGGAATAGGGGTCTAGAATCGGAATTGGAATAGCCTATTTTGATTCCAACTGTTTGGTTGGATGGAATAGGAACCAAACAGACTATAGGATTGGACTATTCTGATTCTGATTCTGATTCCAACTAAAAACCAAACAATATTAATTCATTTTGTTCTTTAGGTCAATTGAAAAGATATTAATGGAAAAGAAAAAATGGCTAGATTAATTTTGAATCATTTGACCCAATCTTGACATTTTCTTGACTTGTTTTAAAAATAGCACATCATTTACATCATGCAAATTAATAAATAAATAATACAATAAGATGCAATGCTTCTATGATGATGTCACCTTATAAGCATGGTGGATCTCTTTGATAACGACATTCTATAAAATTGGATGTTACCACGCCATGCATGCATTCTATGATGATATTACGTTGTAAACATGTTACCTTACACGCTTCTATCTATGATGATGTTACCTTATAAACATGCATGTTGGTCTCTTTGATGATTTACATCACTCATGCATCTCTATTAAATTCAAAATGTCATAGAAAAATATATATGGTGGCCTCTTTTGATGATGGCATTCTATAAATATGCCGAAAATATATGGACATTGTGAATTCTTTGATTAGACAAAACTAAAAAAAAAAAAGAAAATGTAATATTATATATATAGTCTTGGTTGATTAAGGAATTAGGTATTACCTTATAAACAGGTCCAAAACCACCTTCCCCAAGCTTGTTACCTGCAGAGAAGTGATCTGTAGCAGTTTCTAGGCTACAAAAGCTGAATAATGGCAGTTCATGATCTCTCTTCCCATCCAGCTGAAGCATGTTTGTGCTACTGAATTCATCAGTTGCTACATTACCCTTTAACTGAATGAAAAATGGGTTCACATTGTCTCTCCCATATTTTTTGCGTGATTCTTACAAACAGAATAAATTTTGTTATATATAGTAAAGAAAAATCAAATACCAATCTCATTGGTATGGTTGGAGGAAGATATATACCAGTAGATTCATGCCTTCTCCTTCGTAAATAACAAAACAAAATGACTAGATTAAGCATCATTAAGGTAATTACTGGTCCCATGATTTCTAACCACAGCCACCTCTTACGTTGATTATCTGAAAACAAATCCACCAATGAAATTCTTATCAACCATAATTCCAGAAACACTTTAAACACTTTAAGGTAGAATTCTTTTTAACAAATACAATGCATCTATAGTCCAATTTTTTTCCTTTTCTCCAGATGGGAAGGTTGTGTGTTACACACCACTCTACTTGAGTTTTGTATGGGAGTAAGCTAAAGTAGACAAATTTTCTTGAAGTTATGTCAGCAGTACTTAGACATTATCATCTTCATCCTACTTAAACAAATTTTCTTGAAGTTGTGTGTTCTTAAGTTTCTTCATCATTAAAGTTCCTTTGTGGTACTCCTAAGAATCATCAATCCTAATTGTTCCATCATTGTTGTTAATAAGATAGCCATGTTAAATCATGCACCTCTCATACAGAGCCCACAACGAGATAAACTCCCAACCTTTCCCCTTATCTCACACTCTCTCTCTGTCTTGTTATATATATATATATATATATATATATCTTGTTGTATTCCTCTCCTATTTGTAATCATCTTATCTCTTATCTGGCAACTATACATATATACACAAAAATACTAATCAAATACAACTTTTAATAGTCTTTCAATTCATTCAAACTGGTTCATGGTATTAGAGCCGTTGAAGACCTAAGTCTGAAACGTCAAGCTACAATTATGGCATCAAATGAAAGTTAGAGAATCATCATCATTGACGTAGATGTTGCATCTTCTTCTCTTACTGCAACTCTCACGTGACCATTCGCATTGAAGTTATCTCAACGTTTTACAGTCAAATTTATGGGCTGCAACTATAATCTATGGTGATTTCAAGTGGAGAACGCACTTCTGATCCTTGAAGTCCTGCGGTTTGTTGATTTCATCATGCCATGCTGAAAACGAGAAGCAAAACCACTTGGCTTAAGCAAGATTGGCTCTTGATGAGTTGGTTATTGGCTAACTACCCTATCGACCATGCCCGAGCTGATTGCCTAGCAACCCTTACGCTATGTTTGGTTTAAAGGAAAAAGTAGGGAAAGAAAGAAAAAGGTAGGGAAACCTTTACAAACCTTGTATGGTTTTCCTACCTTTCCTTTCTTTTCCCTACTTTTTCCTTCAAACCAAACACAATCTTAGTGAACCACTAACAAATCCGTAGTTGATCCATCATACTTTGAAAGGACTCAACTATAAGTATGAATCCTTTTCTATAGCTATTACCACATGTAGTGATGATGTGACTTTCAAAGAACTGCAATGCCACAATGTGACTATAAGTATGAATGTTGAATCACTGAGAGACTTTCCATTGATACCGCCCACTCTGCCACTGCCGCAATGAGGAGGCAAGACAACAGAGATGACTATCATAAATCATCCCCTCTTACCTTTGATTACGGTCCTAAGGGAATTGGAACTGGTAAAAACTCCAACTCAAGAACCAAGCAAGATTTCTGGAGGAAAAGGTCATGCAACAAAATATTGCTACAAGTTGAAAAATGCTATTGACTACCTCAAGTCTCAGAGTCTAGTGCACTTTGCTACTTGTCCTCTAAGTCATGATGATGTTTGGCTATCAAACTTGGGAGCAACTGATCATTCGACTAGTGATCTCAGCAAACTCTAGTTTAGGTGACGGTTCAAGTTTTCATATCTCTCACATTGACCGTTTCTAGTATCACCTCTTCATCTTGCCCTCTGTTTCTTAAAGTTTTCTGAATTTACTAGACACATTGATTACTATTTTGAGTTTCATCTCCATTATTTCCTTGTGAAGGATTGCAACATTGGACATCTACAAGGATTGCAACTTTAGTCATTCACATTGTATAGACTTTAGTCATTCACAAGGATTGCAACTTTAGTCATTCATCTTCTTTGGTTAGTTCCATTAATGGATTCTCTTACTATATTATTTTTACCACTATCTTGTTGAGATTTACACGGATCTATCCAATGGAAGCTAAATCTGATACTTCTCGCTTTTTTTTTTTTCCACACATTCATCTACATCATTAACAACTCAGGCGACTTCTTATCCCTCTCTAGTAGGTTCTCCTATCTTACCATCTTTATTATCCTCTCCATCCCTTGATCCCATGTCTTCACCTACATCTCCTACGTTGTCTGACCCACCTGCATCCCCACCTTTGCTTGAACCATTTGTTCCACTTGCACCACCTAAACCGCACCCTCCTCCCATGGCCGAACCTACTAGCACCTCTCTCTCTCCTTGCACCACCATTATAATTACTACCACAATCGATTAATTCCCATGTCACGATTAAACCAATCCATCCTCCACGTCACTAATTGAGTTTAACCAATATATACTTCACCCAAGCTAACTCTGATCCTAGATGGGGAGCCACCATATTTGAGGAATTTATTGCCTTCGTAAGGAATGGGATGTGGGAACTTTCCCCTCGTTCCTCTAGCATGAATGTCTTGGGATGCAAACGGTTATTTTGGGTGAAGAGAAAATCCAATGGCACTATAGAGCGCTTCAAGGCTCACCTTGTTGCTAAGGGATTCAATTAAAAGGAGGAGGGTATTGACTTTCATGAGACCTTTACCCCATAGTGAAGCCCAGCACTATTTGGCTTCTACTATCATTGGTTGTCTCTCATGTAATCCGGTCCTTACATCAACCTGATATTCTGAAAGCCTTTCTTCATGGAGGGTTATTTGAAAGAATGTACGTGCAGCAACCAATGGGATTTGTTAATCAATAGTATCCCAATCATCTCTTCCTCGATCTTGCACAAATCCCTTTATGGTTTGAAATAGGCACCCAGTGCTTGGTATGAGAAGCTCAGTTTGTACTCATCTTCTATTGACTTCTATAGATCACATTATATGATCACTTTCTCTTCTATCAGTACAATGGATACTTCTGTCTCTTTATTCTTATTTATGTGGATGACATCATTATAATTGGTTCATCCCCTACTGCAATATGGGATCCCATACTCTCTACGATTCAAGCATTTGTAGTCAATGATCTTGAACCATTGAGTTTAGACCTATATACCCAAAACTCCACTACCTAATCCAACATCTAGTCTAATTATCTCGGATTTGGATGATGTATTTATGTAATCGAATCAAATTTAGATATGACTCCATCTGATCCAATTAAAATCCGAATTTGATTATATTATAATATTAATTCATTTAATATATAAAATTTATATAATTACATTAAAATTAAAATATATATTATATATATATATATTTATATATTATATTATATGTGAATATATATATATATATGTAATCAATTCAATATACTATATTTATATTAATTTATTATAAATAAAGTTGAACAATAATTAACTTTTTATTTTTTTTATTGTTGTCATTTTTTTATTTTTATTTTGGGTAAACCGTATAGGAACATAAATGTAATTATTGTCTTTACTATAAAATGAAATGTTTTGAGTGTGATCATTAAACACCCTCTTCTCCTATTACCCTTCTTCTTTTTCTTGGTATAAAATGAATAGTAACACATGCTTTCAACTTGGTATCAGAGAGGGAAGAAATCTTGGATTAGTTTTTTTGTCAACTCTCAATCTCAAAAAGAACTACCTACATCAAACCATCGTCGGATGACATCAGTAGACCGTATAGGTACAAACAACAACCCTTGAAACTGGTTTACTTCGGTGTGCCCTGATTTTAGGGATTTTTTAGTATGCTTTTTATCTTCATCTAATGTTCCTACAAATTTTCCCAAATTTTAAAATCAGAAATTATAGAAAATTACTGGTGTGATGTTTCAATTTTTCCTCTTTGTCTGAGTTCGATGTTTGCTTGGAACTTGTGCTTGGTTCTTTTGACCCCTATAGAGGTATGGGAAATGGTTCCACAATTTTATAATCTCTATCTTTCTTTGGGAAGTTTTTTCCCTCGTATATTGCCACCAATTCAGTTTTGGGCCTCCTATTGAACTCCAATCGAGTGTCGCCCATTTTTTATGGATCTTGTGTGTGTCGATTGGTTATTGGAGGGTTGTAGAGTTCTTAAGAAGCCTATCAAATTCAAATGGAAGTGCCTAAGGAGTTGTAAAACATTTTTGGAGTGCTCTCAGGCAATGTCGATGTTTCTAGTGGTATGATAACCACCGTGAAACTTGATGGAACCAATTTTCTAGAATGGTCTCAATCAGCTAAACTTACAATTAGAGGTAGGGGGAAGTTGGGATTTATTACTAGTTAAGAAAGGAAGCCGAAATACAAAGACTCTAAACATGCTAAATGGGAAAAGGATAATTCCTTGGTTATGTCATGGCTGGTGTGTTCGATACACACATATTGTCCGTAAGTACCTGTTCCTCTTCACTACCAAGGATATTTGGGATCATGTTACAGCCACATACTCTTAGGCAAAAAATACAGCTCGAGTCTTCCAGCTCCAAAGGGAAGCTTATAATATGCATTAGGGGGAACAAATAACTATAGCCATGTACTTGTCTTCCGTTCTGTCTCTATGGGAAGAAATTAACTATTTGAAGGCCTTGGAATGGAAGAAAGAACCCTAAGGATGATGAACAGTACTAGAAGTATGTTGAGAAGAACTGAGTGTTTGACTTCTTGGTTGGGTTGAATGGTGAGTATGATTTTACTCAATAGCATATTTTGAGTGTGGATATTGTTTCTCTTAATATTGCATACTCCTTAGTACAAGGAAAGGAGAGTAGAATGGTTTCCATGATGCAAACCTCAATAATGAATGATTCTACCTACATGTCTTCAAAATCCAAGCCAAGTACAAATAGACAAGGTGTTAATGAAAAGCATGATGAGGTGGTATGTGATTACTACAAGATGCCAAAACATACCAAGGATAGGTGTTGGAAAATGAATCTGCATTTGAAACTTGCAAAGTTTAAAACAACAAAGAAGGGTAATGCTCACTTTGCTACTATTGGAGATGATTGTCCTCCTAACGTACAAGCTTCTACACATGATCCCTCTGATGTGATGGAGAAGCTCAAGATCTTACACACTCATCTTTAGAAGTCTAACCCCTTTACCTGTACAGGTTCTAGTAATCCTTTTAGTGACTTTGCAAAAATAGGTACAACACTTACTTGTCAATCTTCTTCTACTAGCTCCTGGATTGTTGACTATGGAGCTAGTGCACATATGATTGATATGCCTTCCCACTTCAACTCTTATAAATTAGCTCTAAGGGAAGGCAAAATCATTGTAGTTTATGAATCTCAAATCCACAATTTCTGCTCTAGGGGAAGTTGGACTTATGATCTTTCCTTGAGCTCTGTTCTATATGTTCCTCAGTTGTATAAAAACCTTTTATCTATTAGATCTCTTACCAAATCTCATTAGTCTTCTGTGACCTTTTTTTTCCTTCTCATTGTGTTTTCTAGGACTTAAAAATGGGGCGAACGATTGGAATTGGACATGAAGCTTATGGAACTTACCTTTTTTATCAAGCCTCTAAGCAATGATTACTATGACTGATTAAGTCATGTCAAGGTGAAAATTTGAGTCTTTTGAAGTTGTGGCATTGTTGCCTCGGTGATGTGTCTTTTAAGTCCATTGTGCTTTTGTTTCCAAACTTTTGTCAGTTTGTGTCTGGTTTTGGTATGCAATGTGAAGTCTATCATCTCTCAAAACAATATGGAATTATATATTCTACAAGTAATAGGAATGATACTGCTTTCAACTTGATATACTGTTTGGAGCCCATACTCTATTCCATGTGTGGGTGGCTATAAATATTTTATATTGTTTATTGATGATTACTCTCGATATACATGGCTACGCCTGATGAAGAGTAGAGATGAAGTTCATATCATTGTTCAAAACTTCTTTAAAATGGTGGAAACACAATTTGAAATTCACATCAAGGTAATAAGGTTTGACAATGCTAAGGAGTATTTTTAAAGGCATCTACGATTATTCCTTGATGAAAATGGGGAAATTCATCAAAGTTCATGTTCTCATACTCTACAATAAATTGGTGTAGTAAAGAGAAAAAGTAAACATGTTGAAGTGGCTAGTGGCCAGATGCATGTGCCAACCCACTTTTGGGGAGATATAGTTGAAGTAATAGTGTATCTCATTAACAGAATTCCTTCACAAATCATTTATTTTCCACCCCTCATCAACTTTTGTTCCCTAAAGATTCAATTTTCTATCTGACTCTTAGAGTCTTTGGCTGTAGCTGTTTTTTTCATGATATGAGTCCTTCAATTTCCTTTGTTAAGTCAACATCCGCTTCTCCTTCCTTTGTAAATTCAAACTACAGTGTTGGCCAGTAAATAACATAACCATCTTTCCTTTTCTTTGGGTACAAAGGGAAGGAAGAAGAAGCTCACGAAGTTGGGGATAACTTTACCACAGTTTTACACAATCATGTCAACAATATAAGGATTTCATAACTTCTGCCAAGTTAATAAATTCCAAGTGGAGATTTTTTCAGTACTCTAGTCTTCTTCATTAGTATCCTAAGTTTAAATCTTACTTCCATGTTCGGTTTCCCTTTCACAAATCTAAATTGATTTTCCAAAATACTAAACTCATTTTTTAATTGTTTTGTAATGACCTTCTTCAAAAGTTTTATAGAATGGCTCATAAATTAATCATATGATATACTATGGTAACTCTGTACATAGACTTAGCGTTTCCATATAGGGGTGGCATTTGTATCTTTCATCAAGCATTTTCTTTGTTTCGAAAATTATATTACACAACTTATCCATGATAAGCCCATCTTGCTCATACATTTCTAAACTTTTATTAGAATATCTAGGATAAAAACTTTTCCCACCTTTGTCTTCCTGCTTCCTCAAACCCAACCCCTAAAGGTCTAGTTTAATAAATATATCCAATTTCTCTATTATCAATTGAGTTCCTAAGATCTTCAAAATTTTTTATCCTAAGAAATTCTTCATTTAGTAATTAAATCTAGAAATAGCGTGTCCACCCCATATTAATCTCTTCAATTTTGCTAACAACAATACAACTAATTATCTACATTAATATTAAGTCGTACTTTAATTTCAAAGTAAAAGAGTACTTAGCAAAATTGTTTTGCTGTTGCTGATTTGGAAGTTGTTTTGCTTTCAAAGACAAAACCAACCACGTTGTCAAACACCTTAAAATTTATGAAATCTGGTTAATATATATTTTTAGAAAATCATTTCAAAATCCAAAAAGAAAGAAAAAAAAG